GGACGCAAGGAGGCCCCGACGGGCTCACGAACGCTGTCCTCAGGGCGGCCCCCACAGAGGCAGCGAGGCTACTGCACCCCCTCTTCACCAAGGTGGCGACCACCGTGAGAGAGCCGCTGAGCTTCAAGGGTGGAGACCTGGTCGCAATTCCCAAAGGAAAAGGCGACCCAAGGTACCTCCAAGCCTACCGCGAGATCCTCTTAAACAACGTCCTGGGCAAGCACCACCACAAATACCTAAGGACCATGCTCAACACTACCCTCGCCATAGCGCTGGAGGACATCCAGGTTGGCGGCCGGCCCAAGCGAGGGGCGGACATGGCGGTCCTAGCAGCGCGCCTCTTCACAGAGAGAAGTCAGGCCCAAGGGAAGTGCTCCATGATAAGCTGCTACGACTTAAAGGAGGCCTTCTATTCGGTTGTAGTCCAGCTGGTTCATGGCATCCCAGGAGAGGAGGACGAAGTCAAGGAGGTGCTAGAGAACCTCGAGGTTCCCCTGTGGGCCCAGCCGCAGCTGGAGCACCTCATGGCCAACCCAGGGATACTCGACACAGTGTTGGACGGCTCCCACTTGGCTGCCCTCATTGCAGAAGGATACCGCAACAGGTGGACATCACACAGGTTCTCCCAGAACCTTATGGCGCCGCACAAGGGCACGAGGCCTGGCGTGCCCCTGGCCGACGCGGACTTCAATCTGCTATTCGGCCGAGTCCACCGCATGATTGACAGCTACCTTGCGCAGCGAGGGCTACGACCTCAGGGCAAGCCTCTTGACAGCAGCTTCGCATGCGACACCGACCCCACAGATGGGCCACTCCAGGAGCATGAACCACATGGCCTATCGTTCGTCGACGACCTAACGGGCATGCACGTGTTCACCAGCCCCGACCACATTCAGCATGAGGCCACCGGGTTCTGCGAAGCCGTCTACTGCGCCGCCAGCACCTTCGGCCTCCAGCTGCAAGCTCACCAAGACCAAGGTGATGATCGACTTCAGTGGGCCTGGGAGCCGGCAAGCGCGGGCCAGTTTCTACTCCGAGGGAGTGCCGAGGATCGAGGTCCCCCTTGCAGAGAGTTACGTCGAGGTGGTTCGTCACCACAAGCTCCTCGGGACCTACGTGACCGACAATGCATCCCCTGGGGTGGATGTCGCAGTGAAGGTAGCCACTGCAGCGACATCCACGAGGCCTCTCCATCGCGAAGTCCACCGGCGATCAGAGCTGGCCATCAAAGACAAGGCCTACTTAGCCGACAGTGTGGTAATGCGTCTACCTGGCCCGAACTCACCGCAGGCCAGGCCAGGAATTTCAACAACCAGTATATCGTCAACTACGCTGCCGCGCAAAGGATCACTTGGAAAGTACGACAGAAAAAGGAGGTAACGAACACCCAGATTCTCGAAGGGGTCGACAAGCTGCCCCCAGAGATAGTCCTGCGACTTGAGAGGCTACGACTATTTGGCAGATGCCTCAACTGGGGACCCCTGCACCTCCGCCGGCTACTTAGCCAAGCATGGGATGGTAGTTACGGCTGGGTGGCACTGCTCCGCCGCGACCTAGACTGGGTCCGCGACCACACAGGACCTGACGAGCGTGGTGGAGCATACACGCTCGAGGACTGGAAGGACTGGGCCAGGAACGACTACCAAAGCTACCTCAGCGCAGTAAAGAAAGCTTGCCAACGTGGCAAAGCTCGCCAGTACGATCACGACTACCAAGCTCGATGGCGGCTTCGACTCCAACGGTGGACCAACACGGAAGCCATCTCGCCCTTCCCAGACCAGCACTTCGAGCAGCAGCGCAAGTACCTATGCTACCACTGCGGACGTACCGAAGCCAGTGCAGCAGTGCTACGAGCACACATCACCAAGGACCACACCTCGTCGGGCCATCCTATCTCGTGGGCAACTGGTTCGGTCTGCTACGGATGCGGCATGGATTACCATACTACAAACAGGCTGGTCAAACACTTGCTGAGAGTGCGCAGGTGCGCTCGACATTGGCGAAAGACGCGTCCAACAATCCTAAGTAGAGCCGAGCTGCAGCACAACCAGCAAATTGTCCGCGACCAGCAGCAGGCGAACCGAAGGGCGGGCAGGCCCATCGACTGGGCAGAGAAGCCTGCAGTCCCTGCTCGTCCTCCAGAAATACATACGGACGAGGACAGCGACGACAGCAACGGCGGCCACTACGAGAGCCTAGAGCTCCCCTTCATCGAGGAGCCGCCACCGCCGCCAGCTGCTGTACCGAGGCCCAGACCAGCTCGGACGCTATACGTGCTGCATCTATTCAGCGGCCGTCGCCGAGAGGGAGATGTTCAGGACTGGTTCGACCGCCTCAGCAGTCGGGCTGCTTGCGACATACACATGCTCAGCCTGGACATCGCCAACGACCCGACCTTCGGCGACCTGACATCAGAAGTCGCAGTCAGCAAGTGGCGAGACATGGCACAAGCAGGAAGAATTGCAGGAGTCATCGGCGGACCGCCGTGCGAGACCTGGAGCCGAGCGCGCCACTTGCCCCCCAATGACTGCAGGGGTCGGCCACCAAGACCCCTAAGGAGCAGCAGCAGCCTGTGGGGCCTTCGCTACCTTTCCCGCCCAGAGATGGAGCAAGTAGCGACAGGCAACCGCCTATACAGGACACAGCTGGAGCTCATGTACATGCGCCTCAACCTGGGAGTCCCAGGCATGCTCGAGCACCCGTCCGAGCCCACCGAGGAGCACTTCGCCAGCTCCTGGAAGCTTCCCGAGACGCGCCACCTCCTGAACCAGCAGGGAGTCGAGCTGATCACATTCGACCAGTGCACCTGTGGAGCGCGTTCGAGGAAGTCCACAAGCCTGATGGCGGTATCCCTACCAACCCTCCGAGCAGAAATCAGTAGACTGCCTGGAAGCGGGAGGTGCTTTCACACGGCCTCCTACCACGCGGAGCTGGCAGGCATCAACGACGACGGCCAGTGGCGCACCGCGGCGGCCAAGGAGTACCCGAACAGGATGTGCCAGGCCATCGCGACCGCACTGGCGAAGCAGATAAGGTGGCGCTTTGGCGAGTCGCCTAACGACGTCCAGGGGTGGCACATCGACGACGACGTGGCCCACTTCTTCCAGCCGCTCGACCGCTACAAGACCAGGGAGATGGGTCAGGACTACCATCGGGGCCCAGCGAGGCGGAGTGGCTCACCGACCTGGTTGGAAGAGGCAAGGGAGTGGGCCCGGCAGGACCGACCCGGCAAGGCAATCGGCAGGGCCACCACCTCGACAGGAGCTGTTCGGGCACAGGCTGACAACGCGGATCGCGTCGATGCGCCCTGACGACAAGTACAAAAGAATCAGAACGCAAGTCCTGAGGAAGCCCCGAGTGCGTGGGAACACCTCAGGCTACGTCGTCAAGTTTTGCACAAGTCATCAGGACGCAAGTCCTGGGGAAGCCCCGAATGCGAGGGAACACCCCAGGCACACGTCGCCACGTTTTGCACTTGACGGACACGGCCGCCGTTCAGTCAGGGCTCAGAGGTACCAGCCAGATTACCCCAACTGCACCAAGTACGAGTCAACGCTGCCCTGGTGAGGCAAGGATCAAACTTCGAGACGGGCTCGAAGGGCGGGGGGGCAGGACGAGGACTGCCCGCGCCTACCAGGGGGGATGGTGAGGGGCAGGGGGGGGGGGCAGGACGAGTACTGCCCGCGCCCCCGCGGTCCGCCCTAGCTCGCCACCCCCGCCATTCCCATGGCGGAGACGGAGCTCCCGAGCGCCCAAGGGCGAAGCATAGGGCAGCGTTGATCTTCCTCATCGACAGCAAGAATCACTTGGCCTGGGGTTCGCCCCCACCGAGGGCACCGTGACCCCTAGCCATAGCGGGACGAGGTAGGGCCGCTACGAACCCTACTTGAAGTCGGTGCATGGAGGCCTGAGTGCGCCCACAATCTATTCCACCTACCAGCAACAAGCCGGCCCCCATCGACCCTAACCAGCACGACAATTACCTCATCGGCTGAGACGAGTACCAGAGCCTGAGCCCAACACAGTCAAACCGTGCTACTCGACCAAGGCGACCGAGCCAAGTACAAAGAGCCTACCATCATCGAGACAGACGACCACTGGATCAGCGATGCTGAGTTGAATGGAGTGAATGGAGCAAATGGAGAAGGCTCATCACACGATTTCGACCAGCAGGACTGAGTCGAGTACCACAAGCTCGAGGGCGACAGAATCATGCTCTACTACTATACCACCGACCACCGAGGTGGCCCAGTGAGGGGGCTGAGCCGTCGGGGTCCCGAGGGACATAATTTGGTGCCGCCCCCCTTACCCCCAGCCGCCTCATCTTCCACTTTTGGTTTCCTGGTTCGGGCCCTGTGCTGGGGGGGTAAAGGGGGTGGCACGCCAGGCGAGCCCTGGCCCACCGTGCCCCAAGGCCTGGGCACTGTCGCCCAGGACAGGTGTTGCAGCTGCCAAGCTGATATCCTGGGTGGCAGCGCGCCGTGCCTGGGGGCGAGTAGTAGACCATTGGACCCCGCTCCCCTTCTTGGGGCCCGCGTTTTGGGGCCCCCGTCGGCCTGTTTCCTCCCTCCTTGCGGGGTCCTCTGGTGCCTGGCCTTTCCCATCTTTAGGGCCTCGCCCCCCCGCTCTTCCTTTGCCCCGAGAGATCCTGGAGGCCCCTTCCTCTCCCCTGGGCGGGGCCCCCTCCCCCCCCCCCGGCGCCGAAGGCGCCCGCGCGTCGGCCGCGTGTGCGGCTAGGCTCGGGCGCGGAGGCGCCTCGGTCGGCGGCAGCAGCCGCCGCGATGCGCTTCAGGGATCAAACCCTTCATGGCGCGGCAAATAGCGGAAAGAAATAGCGGAGGAGGAGGGACGAGGAGGAGGAGGAGGAGGAGGAGGAGGAGGAGGAGGAGGAGGAGGAGGAGGAGGAGGATGGGTTTGGCGCACTCGAGGAGACGTAGGGCCCGCGCCTTCCAATGAGAGGCGGCCAGGGGCGGCGGCGCGCGGGGGGGCGCGAGCGCTGCCTGCCCCGGCGCACCTCCCCGCCCGCGCCCAAGAGGGACCCGAGGCCTCAGGGGCGCGCGAAGGGTGGGCGGGGGCCGAGGGCTCTCGCTCTCTCTCTCGCGCTCTCTCTTGGAAAAAAAAACAAAAACGCAATGATGATTACGCCCATTGGTCGGAAGGGGTAGATAGAGACATGAAGTAAGAAAGCGCTGAAAATAGATTGGGTTCCGTCCGCGCCCCAAGGAGGACGGAAACGGTGTGAAGCCATTCGATCATTGAAGTAGGAAGGCGCTTAAAATAGATTGGAATCTGGGCTCTCGCTCTCCCTCTCTCTCTCTTTCTGCCTCTCTTTCTTAGAATAGAAAAACGCTCCCCACGACTCGCACAGGGAACTGCTCGCAAGTGGCCTGGATCCGCCGCGGGGGACCTACAGTTGAGGGGCAACGATAGGGGGGGGACTGGCACAGGGGGGGATGCATCGACCTGGAATCGGCGATACGTCGCCGATAGATCGGCGAGAAGCCCCCGATAGCGAATCCGCACCTTGTTAATGCAGGCTGGGGCCACCGGGCCCCTCTCGGCGATCACCGGGCGATGGCGGGTCGATGCGCCCCCCCCCCCTATGCATATCCCCCCTATCTCTTTCTCCTCCTCCTCCTCCTCCTCCTCCTCCTCCTCCTCCTCCTCCTCCTCCTCCCCCCTATCGTTGTCCCCGAACAATCCAATACATCGAGGAAGACGTTTGCTCTCCGGACGCCTGCGGGTAGGCACTCTGCAAGTCGTGGAGCGCACTCGGTGACTCTCTTAGGATAATAACCGACGCCATAAACATACACACTTGGCGCTCCGCGCGGACTTCTTGGATCCGCGCTGGGCCCCCCTGCGGAGCCTCCGGCGCCGCCGCTTGCGCGCTCCGCGCGCCAAGGAAGGGGGATCCAGGGCGGATCCAAAAAATCCGCGCGGACCTCTGAAGTGTATGTTTATATCGTGGTGTGTTTCCCTATCTCTCTCTCTCTCTCTCTCCCTCCCTCTCGTCTCCCTCTCTCTTGATTTCAGCTGGCCCGTATCATAAGGATGCGCGATAAGGATGCAAGGGCCTTGGGCGCTCACTTCGAGGCTGAGCGGGGCGGGGCCAACGAAGGTGGCCAAGGATGTACCGAGGAGGCAAGGATGCAAGGGTACCCTTCGGAGATTTGCCCATCCTTTCTATCCTTTCTATGCGTGTTGACTGTAATCCGCCGAGCCTCGGCAAGAGCTTGAGCTCTAAGCTCTGAGCAAGAACTTCAGCTCTGCTTGGGGGGGGTCGCCGGGGTGGCTCGGCTGGGGAAGAGGGGGAGAGGGGGGTCCTCCATCTGGCGTTTTCTTCATGATTTGCGCTTCCGGACCCCCCCGGGGAAAGGGGGGGGGGGCGGTCCCCCATCTGGCGTTTTCGTAATGATTTGCGCATCCCCAATATATTTCGGGTGTCCCAGGGACCCCCCTCAGATCTAGCCGCTACCGCCTCCAAGACCCTCCCATCGGAACCCCCCAGGACCGCTCCAAACACCCCCCCAGAGGAGAAGAGAGAGGACCGGAATAATCGAGGAGGGAGGAGGCCACAGAGCCGCGAAAATCACCGAATCTGGAGCCCCCGGATCGGCGGCACTGGCTGGAGGCCATTACAATAACAAAAG